GGCATTTTTAATTGGTAAAAAACAAAACAAAACAGCATTTATTACCGCAGAGTAAAATTCCACGACCGTTTTCATCCCGCCTCGCAGCCCGCAGCTCAGCGCACACGTGCGCATTCGCGGGACCGGGAGTGGGCGGTGCCAGGAGAGGGCGGGGCCCGGGATTAGACGTGGCCGGGAGTGAGCGGGGCCCGGGATTGGACGTGGCCAGGAGTGGGCGGGGCCGGGCTGTGCCACGTGATTTCGAGGCAGGGGGAGCAGGGCCGTACCATGCCAGCTTATGTTAAGGGGTGTGCACCAGAGCGGCGCCATCCGTGCGGGGCGTTGGCAGAGGTCACGAGAGCAGTGCCTCAGTTGTGATTGGTGGAGGAATCTCCGCGCAGCCAATAGGAAGCGGGCAGCGAGTGCTCATGCGTGAGCTCGCCATTATGTTTCGTGGTGGTGCGGGCGCATGCGCGCTGCCACTCTCTGGGCCCGATGAGGCTGCGGCGCATGCGCACAACGTCGCTTCCGCCTTTGTCCCGGCCCGGAGCTCACCGGACGCCTTTGCGAGTAGCCTAAAGCGAGCGGCGGCGCCCGCGGGAGCGGAGCGAGGCGGCCGCGGTGCGATGAGGCCGCAGCAAGCGCCCGTGTCGGGCAAAGTGTTCATCCAGCGAGATTACAGCGGTGGGACCCGCTGCCAATTCCAGAGCAAGTTCCCGGCCGAGCTGGAGAACCGGGTAAAGCGGATAACCGCGCTTTATTCGTGCTGCCCCGCCTTTGTGCTTTGTGTCGCTTTATGGAGTTTGTCTGAGCGGCCAGCGGGGAGTTACTGCTGATCTCTGGAGCTGCCTGGTTTGCTTTTTCGTGCTCTTTTTTTTAGTCTAGCTGCCCGTTGTGTATGAAGTAAGCTGCTTTTGCTGTTTTTCCACTGCAGTCGGTTGTTATTTAACTGCAGTCGGTGGTTATTATCGGTTTTGGAATTGCAGTCGGTTGTTATTTAACTGCTGTGCGTTCAGGTTGTGTTGGCATTCACACTTGATCTGGGCAGATTTTTGACAAGAAGTTCGAGGTCTGTAACTCACAGCATCCTCTGGACTTTGCTCTAAATGCAGCAGCTGTTTAAAATGTCAATTTCTGTGAGGAAAGACAGAGAAAGTGGAAATAAGTGAAGGCTGTTATTGGAAGATATTGATGAGTTCTGGAGTGTGAAAGGTGTGATGGCTAAATCTCATTTCTCTTTCAGATTGATAGGCAGCAGTTTGAAGAGACTGTCCGAACACTGAATAACCTTTATGCTGAAGCTGAGAAACTTGGGGGCCAGTCGTACCTTGAGGGGTGTCTGGCCTGTCTGACTGCCTATACTATCTTCTTGTGCATGGAAACGCATTATGAAAAGGTAGGTTTGTTTTGTTTTCCTTCCTTCTTAAAAGGAACTGTATCCTCCAGACTTCAGGTGATTTATGTCCTGGTAGGTTTTCTGTGACTTGCACCATCACTGTATAAATTCCACATAGACTCTAGATCTTACTGCAAGGTGACATAACAGAGGAGAGCCACAAAGATAAGAGGGCTGCAGCACCTCCACTACAAAGACAGGCTGAGGGAGCTGGGCTTGTTCAGCATGGAGAAAAGAAGGCTGCGGGGTGACCTCAGTGCAGCCTGCAGTGCCTGAAGGGAGCCTGCAGGCAGGAGGGGAGTCAACTCTTGGAAAGGGGAGATAACAGCAGGACAAGGGGAAATGGTTTGAATTGAGGGAGGGGAGATTGAGGCTGGATATCAGAGGGAAGTTCTGTGCTGTGAGAGCAGTGAGGTGCTGGAACAGCTGCCAGAGAGGCTGTGATGCCCCGTCCATCCCTGGAGGTGTTCAAGGCCAGGTTGGATGGGGCCCTGGGCAGTCTGGGCTGGTGTGAAATGTGGAGGTTGGTGGCCCTGCATGTGGCAGGGGGTTGGAGATCCGTGATCCTTGAGGTCCCTTCCAACTCTGGCCATTCTGTGATTCTGATGCTGTGGCAAGTCTGTCTGATACATGAGCAGTGTAACATTTTCTGTATATTGAGGAATAATGCAGTTTCTGTCTCTAGTGGTCTCATGCTGTATTCTCCTAATGTTGTTATATTTGTGGTATTGCTGATCTATGGCTCTAAGATAGGGAAACCTAATTAAGAACCCTGATTTAATAAACTTCTGTGCTGTTCTGCTATCAGGTTCTAAAGAAAATTGCCAAGTTCATTCAGGAACAGAATGAGAAGATCTATGCTCCTCAGGGCCTCCTTCTGACCGACCCCATTGAAAGAGGACTAAGAGTTGTATCCTTGTGTGGTTTCTAAGATTATTTCCTAATTTGTCAGTCTACAATATGCAACCTGTGTCTCTGTTAACATGGCATCCTCTCGTCATGCTTTGTCTGTGATACTGCAGAATACATGATCAGTTTGGTCACTCTCAGCTATGTGCTGCTCTTTAGTCAGATATTTATACTTCTGTCTGTTGTGTAGCTTTTCCTGAGATCTTGGAGAAGATGGCAAGGTTCACAAGCTCTTTGTGTGCAGAATTTTGTGTTCTTGTTGTTGGGACAGTCCTGAGCTGCATAGGTGACTGGTCTCATCTGACAAGGCAGATGTGCTGTTCTGTTTGCTTTATAGCTCTGAAATTAATCTTGGAAAAAACAGCTATGAAGCAGAAAGATCAAAAGTTCTGATATCCTAATGATTTTTCACTTGTGTTTTTGTAAACTTCTTATAGTATATTTCCCTAACAGCCTTTCTATGCAGATTGAAATTACCATTTATGAAGACAGAGGCATGAGCAGTGGAAGATAAAACTGTGGAGTCTCAGGTACTTATCAGCATCACAGTAGATGCCAACCTTCCTTTCCTTCAACTTTCCTTTTTTGTGCTCAGACTGGTAGACTTTCTCCAGCTGAAACAGAATATTTATTCAACTTCTGTGTGTTATCAGTGGCTTTCTACTGAAGTCTTGGGTGGTGTAGGTTTTCTGAATGTGTAGCCATATATATGATTAATTTTATGCTACCAAACATGAAGCCACTTCAAAGAATAGCAGATTTAACTTTAAACAGTCAAGATTTGAGTTTGGTAAAATATGCATAAACTTAACTTGCACTATGTTAAGCCCAAAATGGCTTTCTGTATTTAAAGGATCTTTTGATTTTTTTTTTTTTTTTCTATTTCCACAAAGGTTTTCTGGCATAAGTTTCTGAGCACACAAATATAAGACTTTGCTCTTCAATCTCGACTTTAAAACAAAGCACTATTTAAATGCTTATTTTGGTTTTCTAAACAAATTTCAGATTGATAATGTAAGAGATGAAGAAATACTTAAGAAAATCATTGGTGGCACTGTGCTAGCAACTGTTCTTCCTGTACTGCTGTGAAAGATGCAGCTTTTCTTTTTGAATGTTTTTAGAGGTATCTTGTGGCAAGCAAGTTTTAAAAGGTTTTGTGTTTCAAGCATCTATGAAATCAAGGCCATAACCCATGTTAAGAAGCCCTGAGTAATTCTATGATTCTATTTTACCTGGAAATCAATTCTGACATGTAACTTCTTTTCTAGCAGACAGCTCAACAGTGGACTTGATGTATCAGTTCCCCTACCTCCTACTTTAGAGCATCATTCCTCTTTCTGCTGCCAGATCCACAGTGCCATTTTCTACAGGGACTGACTTCCTAAAACTACTCCACGTGGTGTGACCCAGCTGGTCAGCATACATTTTGTGGCAAATTATTGAGCAGTGAGATCTCTCTTACGTTTCTCAAGAAAAACCAGAAGTGGTGAAGCTGTGTGCTCTTCTGACAGAACTGCTTTGGCCCGACAGAAGTCTAGTCATGTAAATGTGGTGCAGTTCCTCCCTACTTCTTAAACCTTTCCGTACGTCGATTGGGCTTTGGAAACCTACAAGTCAGAATGGAATTTTCCAGAAGAAAGGCTTTCCCTCAGGTTCAGTATTTCACTGAGGGGATACGTGGTGCCTCTTCCTGGTGAGAAGTGACTCAAGGCAACGAGCATTTTAAAGCATTGTGTGCTGATTCTTGTGGAAAACTAGAAGGCAAAGAGTTTCTTGTTTTAATGTTTTGGTTATTCCTAGAAGAGAGGGAGGAATAGCTGGACTTTATTCTGAGTGTTTTTTCTACTGCTGTGTATGTGCTGTTATTGTGTCTGTCAGTGCTGATCAGAAGAGGGAGTCCATTCATGGATAAAACAGGAAGTACAATAAAATGGATGCCGAACCAATAAACGTAACTCTTTCCCTATTCTGATTAATATGTGAAGTGTAAAACTGTTTCTTTATGAATTTATTGTAACTTAGAGGAAAATGCTGATTCGACAAACTTAGCTGTTGTGTGAGATGGTTTCTTAACTCTTGTCTGCTGGCACACTATTGAGAAGTAGAGCTGTGCATTATTTCGTATGTTTGTGCATTAACATTCCTCAGCAATACCTAAAAGCACGGTTCCTTAAGGAAAGGATGTTTGGATTTCAGTTCTGAGTGCCATTATCCAACTGTGGAAGGATTTCAAGAACTTAGAAACTGAGAAATTGTACAGAAGTGATGTTTTTGGCTTTTGGTGGTGCTGTAGGTGCTACCGCGTCTGAAATTCCAGGCTTGTTCCTCAGCCACTGGGTTCTGTTTGTTTGTTTGTTTTCTTTTTTGAGATTGAATATTCTCACAAATTAGAAAAAACTTGTTTTTTCTAAAATGTAACAGTGGTTGCCTTTCATGTCTGTTGCAATACTGGCAGAAGTACTAATGGATCAGTAAATCTTTTCTTAAACTGTGTCTGTGTCATGTTCAGTAGCGCTGTTTCTGAAACGCCTTCTCTTCGTAGCGCGAGACTGGGTAAAAGCCCGTTCATAAGGCCGAGCGCAGCTGCACCTCACCACGCCCCGCGGCCGCCATTTTCTTGCTCTTCGCGCCGGCGCAGTGGAAAACATCCGGGTCACACGGCGCGCCGGCACAGTGAGGAACATCCGGGTCACACTGAGCGCCTGTGGAGAGAAGAACATCCGGGGTCACGCGGCGCGCCTGCGAATTGCAGCTGCGGCTGTTGGGATGGCGGCAGCGGGCGGTGAGGAGCCGGACTCGGATGATGGTAGCGAGGAGCTGGTGCTCACCCCTCTACAGCTCATCCGAAGCCTGGAGCAGGTAGTGCGGTCCAGGGATGAGCGTCGAGGCGTCCTGGGGACCTTTCAGACGATCGGCAGTTGCGGCTGTCCGAGGAAGGCGCGGGGAGGCTGATGGCGAGGCCTGTGGGCCCGCTGGGCGGAAAGGGGCGACTCAGGGCCGGGGTCCCGGCTCCCGCTGCACGATAGGAGCTCTCTTCACCTTTACTCACAGCGTTCCTTCTCCTAGGCCTGGCTGAACGAGAAATTTGCCCCCGAGCTGCTGGAGAGCAAGCCTGAGATCATTGAGTGCGTGGTGGAGCAGCTGGACCACATGGTGTGTGCTGCGGGGCGGGGGGAAATGGGGGATGTGCTTCTGAGCCTTTGCAGTGCTCGTTCCTGAGGAGAGCACTGGGAAATGTAGTCAGTTTTTATTTTCCTTATGTGTCAAATGGTCGTCTTTCTCTCTTTTTTTTTTTGTTTTAATTGTTTGGTATTTCAGTCTTTTCAGTTTCCTTTGCCTTTCTTTGCAGGAGGCAAACCTAAAACGAGCAAAGAAGGGAGACTTGAAGGTCAGCATCCATCGCATGGAGATTGAAAGGATCCGTTATGTGCTCAGTAGTTACTTGAGATGTAGACTTGTGAAGGTAATGCTGTATGGAGCATAGAAAAGGTTTATTTTAGGAGTGATTCCTAGCCTGTTTTAATGATCTCTTCCCAAAGAATTTCAATCCATAGGCACACTTTTCTGTTGTGGAGACTCACAGTATTGCTGTGATGTTCCTTTATAATGGCATGTTTTTTTAAATCTAAGCCAAGGTATGTGATCCTCCTGGGTCCTGTCACATACACATATATCTGTGCAGCTTTAAGACCCCAGCTGACTATAGTGTTGCCAAGTCAGCAGCAGGTATTTGAGCAGGCCTGTGTTTACTCTATACTGTTCAGGGGAGGATTGCTTGTCAGGGAAGTCTGGTGGATTTTAGGCACTGAACTACGGGAAAGTTGGGATTTAATCTTTTCTTTCTTTTTTTCTTTTCTTCCAATGACAGATAGAGAAGTTTTTCCCACATGTGCTGGAGAAGGAGAAATCTCGAGCCAAAGGAGAGCCTTCCATTCTATCACCAGAGGAGTTTGCCTTTGCTAAGGAGTAAGTGGGCTTTCAGTCCATCTCCCTCCCTTTGCATGGGGTACAGAACTTGCCCTTTTGTTATACTGAACAGTTCTTAAGCCTTAGGCAAGGTTGCAGTAAGATTCAGGTGTTTAGCTTTCCTTATGGACAAGGAAAGAAATAGTTTTCTGAGTCTGTGGCATACTTAGCATCTGAGCCAGTTCTGTCAGTGGGTTGCTTGTAACTAAATGACCAGGAGGTGTCACCTGTTGGCACTTTTGAGCAAATACTCTCCAGGCAAATTTGCATTTGACTTAATTAGTGGATGCTCCAGTGTTGTGGGGTTTTATTGTTTTTTTTCTTCAGGTACATGGCAAACACTGAGACTTATCTGAAAAATGTAGCCCTAAAGCACATGCCACCCAACCTGCAGAAAGTAGCCCTCCTAAAATCGGGTGAGTACAGGCAGACTACAAGCACTCAGGAAAATTACTGCAAATGAGGTGTGGAGAAAGCTCTGTGCTCATGCTTGCCACCTCCATCTGCTTTTTTCTTAAGCTGGCTCAATGCAAACTACTTCTTAACAGAAACGTCTGGCATTCTCTTTGTTGGCAATGCATTTGCTGCCCCTAATACTACTTCACTGAGCATTCTGCAGAGGAACAAGAGTGAGTGTTGAGTCTGTGCTCTGAATCTGTTGTATCTGCAGTCCCGAAACCCAACCTGGACTCTTTCGTGTTCTTGAGAGTGCTGAAGAGGCAGGAGAACATCCTGGTTGAGCCAGAGACTGATGAGCAGAGGTAGGTGGTCCTTCCACACCCAGAGCATACGAACAGGACTTGTTTCACAAAAGCAGCTTAACACCCTGCACCTGCCTCTTTCAGAGAGTACACCATCGACCTGGAGGAGGGCTCACAGCACCTGATCCGCTACAAGACCATTGCCCCTCTGGTGGCCTCAGGAGCAGTGCAGCTCATCTGAGCGAGTGGTGAGCGCTGAGGTGGGGTCGTGCTGCCTCCTGGTCATGGCCCAGGCCCAGGTGGTGGTGATGGGGGGCAGAGCAGGGCTGGGCTGGGTGCCCCACAGTGTGGCTTGGAGAGGGATGGCTGAGGGTAGCAGCAGAGCTGGAAGGTGTATCTTTGAAAGCATTCAAAGCATTTTGCGTCCAAGCCTTGGGACCCCAGTACAGGAAGGATGTGGAGATGTTAGTGTGGGTCCAGAGGAGGGTCACTGAGATGGTCAGAGGGCTGGAGCAGCTCTCCTGTGAGAAAAGGGTGAGAGAACTGGGGTTGTTTAGCTTGGAGAAGAGAAGGCTCCAGGGAGACCTCACTGTGGCCTTCTAGTATATGAGGGGAGTGTATAAACAGGAAGGGAAATGGCTGTTTACAAGGGTGGATTGTGATAACACAAGGGAGAATGGTTTTAAAGTGAGACAAGGAAGGTTTAGGTTGGATGTTAGGAGGAAGTTTTTCGCACAGAGCGTGGTGAGGCACTGGAACAGGTTGCCCAAGGGTTGTGGATGCCCCATCCCTGGAGGTGTTCGAGGCCAGGCTGGATGTGGCTCTGGGCAGCCTGGGCTGCTGGTTGGTGACCCTGCACACAGCAGGGGGTTGAAACTCAATGATCATCGTGGTCCTTTTCAACCCAAACCATTCTGTGATTCAAGTAAATGAACAAGGCATCTTCCCCTCTGTGTTTCCAAGGGCCTTATTGCCCCCCACCCCCATATAATCAAGATCTCGATTGCTTATGACACACTTAGAATACAGCCAGGCTCCTTTCTCCCAGCTTTGCTGAGTGAGGGCAGTCACAGCACTCACAAGGCTTTGGCAGAGCCCTGCCATGGTCCCTTTGGAGTCCCAGGGGGTGGATGAGCATAGACAACATTTCTTGAGATCTCAGACTGGTTTGACAGCAGATGTGTACAGAGCACTTATCTTCAGAGATAATAATGCCTTTGTAAATGCAAGGATACACTTTTTAAACCTTACATATGTGTGTTCATTCTTGCCCCAGTTTAGCGTTGTTTGTTAAATTAGGCTATCAGGTGAAAATTGGCTGATGGAACGGTGTGGTTAACTTGTGTAAACTCCACCTTTCCCCATCAGCTTTGATCTCATCACAGCCTGTACAACCTTGGATGTTGTGCAAGTGCCCAATTGCTCTGAGGTGAACTGGGGGGATTCTTCTGCGCCACCTTTGCCACATGATCCATTGAGCAAAGAACACACATGAAGGTATTTGCTGGCAGAGCAGATCTTGATTATCATGCGAGGAGCAGGAAGGATTAGGAGCAAATTAAGGATGGAAACTGCAACTCGGAGCAAAGAGAATGTTGTGAGCAAGCAGGGGAAAGCCCTAGGGTCATGTGAGAGGTGCTTAACTCCAGCTTGTTACCAGCAGTAAGAAGGCAGGTTGGAGAGTTTACCAAGGTTTTTATCTTCTGTCTTTCTCAAAGTATTGCCTGGAAGATGGCCATGAGCTTAGGAATTCGGTTTGTCTGCTCTGAAGGATAGTTATGCAGGCCAAGCAGCAGGTCTGTCCTTTAGAACATCTCAAGGCAGAATTTACCTTGCAGATGGAATCAACTTTGTTCTTGCCATGAACAAAGCAGCTTCTGTCCCAGTGTGGACACAGTTGTCCACAATGCCTTCTAACTTGTCTAGAGAGAAGTTACACTGATTATTTTATTTCTTCCTGGTGTTCTGGCAATAGTAGCACTGTTCTCATAAAACATCTACCTTTGCCATTTCAGGTATCTCAGATTTGCCTGCACTGTAGGCTTGGATTTGGAATTGCTTCCTGGCCTTTGTGCTGATTGTAGCTTTTCTTGCATGGTCCAAAGAATGAGTGCCTGCAGGAGCCCTGGGCATCCATGTTTTCTCTGATCAGGCTGTGACTCATTACAGTTGTGATGGAAGCTTTGGAAATGTCAAACAGCATTTGTAGGTTTGTCACAAACCTTCACCAAGCAACTGATTCACATTTAGTGGGTCTTGATGATGCCCACGTACAATTTGTATTTCATTCCACTGTATTGTTACACGCACAAGCTTTGCATAAAACCAATATCAGAGCAGATTCTGCACTGAAGATTTAAATGCTATCATTTCACCTTTTGAAATTCCTGGATGTTGATCAACTCCTGCAAGGGGAATTAAAAGGCTTTCCTGCTTTTCTGGCCTTTTCTGACCCCCTTCTTTGGGCTCACAGGCTTCAGGGAGATTACAACACGGTTACAGCTAATCCTCAGGTTTGAGGCTGCCTTTGTCAGTGAACTCCAGGGCAAACAGGGTCTGCATGATCAGCAGCTGAGGACTAGAAGAGCTCTGAGGAATTCTGTAAGCTTGTGCTTTCATGCTGCTTGGAATGGTAACGGAGCACAAGTCTGGCAGGGCTTTCCTAGAGCAGTCTTTTGCTGCAGAGTGAGAACAGAAATCGTCTTGATTTTGGCCTTGCCTCCTGTGCTTTGTGTGCTATTCACATTACTTCTTCTAAGGCCAGCATGCTGCCCTTGATTTCTGCAGCAGAGCATTCAGCCCCGTGTGCAGGGAAACTTGGATCAACAGCAGCAAGTGCAAAGTGACAGGGCAGAGGGCATATTCTGGAAAGCTTCAGTGTGTGTGGTTGGTAGGATGCCTTGTTTAAGAATTGTGACCAGTTTCACTAAAATGGAGTAACTGTAATGATGGGCTCAGGATAAAAGCAGCTTTCTGCTGCGTGTGCTCTGAAGATCCTCTTTCCAGAGAATGTGGGGTTCTGCTGCATTCCCTGCTTTGTAATTTTGAGGGTGGAAACTGCCCAGTTACTTTGTGCTGAAACAAATGCTGGGGTAAGGGAGACAAGCTGTCCCTTCCTGTTGATTACATGGGGCAAAAGCTCCTTTTGCCCTGCATTTCCCAATTCCCTGCTGTTACAGCCTGGTACCTGTCAGGTGTGTGGACAGACAGGCTCACTTTCCTTCAGGACAGGGCCTTTCTTGCACCATACTCTGTGGGGAACAGGCTGGTGCTGCTCTGATGCTCCCCTTTCACTGCCAGGCAGGCAGGGTGTGACGCAGTGCATTTTGCAGTGCGAGTGGCTTTGCATGTGTGGTTTGTAGTGTTCCTAATGAATCCATTTAGATAAAGTGGATTCTTTTTTTAAGTATAGACGTTAAGAGGAAGTTGTGTTTAATCCTTAGGAATCAGTAGCACACACCTCTGCCCGGCCCTGAAGAAAGGGCTTTGGATTGTACCCTGCTCATGCCTGTAGCTCAGGCAGCCTCTCAGAGGTGACAAAGCTCTCAGTCAAAGTCATTCTTAATCTGCTGCTGCAAAAACATGCTCTAGAAGAGCTGCTTGGAGAATGTCTGTAAGACTTTCTCCTTAGCCCTATTTAGTTTGGCTGAACAGTTGTCCAGGCAGCTTGTACTTGCCCTGCTGCTGCACCTCACGTGGCTGCTGCAACGTGAGCATCAGGCCCCCGTGCCCTGTTCTAGAAGCCAAATCTTCACCAGAGCTGATTTTTCCTAGAATACCTTGAGCACGGTTCCTCTCTGGAGTCTTGGAGCCAGCAAAATTACTGCAGGCTGTGCAGGATTTTTCAGAATGGCTGTTAGGCTGCAATCGGTCAGGCTAAGAGTGAGATTCAGTTTCAGCCTATCTGAAAATGCTTTTTGTGTCCTTCCATGACTGAATACCTGAGATACTGATGGGACTGGATAACGTTTCACTGCTGACACAGTGCTTCTGTTGCCTCATCTGCATTGGAGGAAGGGGAAACATCTGCAACTCTGTCAAGGAAGAGGTGCTTTTGGCTTGTATTTTCAGATGGAGGGGAAGACTCATTCATCCACCTTAGTCTGTGCCTGTGATGAGAGTGGGAGCAGCTTCTCTAGGGGCTGCAGTAGAGATTGGACTGGAATGTCCAATCCAATGCCTGTTCTTTGTTCCTTCCAAGGTGTTGATAACTTGGGCTTGCTGTGCAGTAAGCTCTAAATGCAAAGTGGATGGGTGGTGAAAGAGGTCACAGGGAAGGCACTGGTTGTGAGTTGTGATTTCACAGTTTAAGCCGGATCTGCTCTCCTGAGGGCAGGAGAAATGTGGAGTAAGTACTTAAATTAGTAGGAACCCTTTTCCGTGTCACTGTTGACTCCCTCAAGTCACTGAAGGGGAATGCATGCCGTCAGCCTGAGAGAATGTGAGGAAAGAATGGTTCTCAGAAAGCAACAGGTGAGAACTAACAAATTGCCTGCACTATATGTGACCACACATGGAAACCTGTGCAGTTCCTGCTGTGCAATCCATCACAGCAGTGCATGGAGACCCAAGCATATTTTCATGTGGGCCTTCTCTTTCACTGCCCTGGCTCACCCTGCTGTGCTGCTGCTGTGTGACAGTCTTTCCCAGAACTGAGAAATATCTGGCTTAAAGCTGATACGAGGAACCAGTTGGAAATTCTGCTGGAAAGGTGTTGAATAGTCAAAGGTCCAGAAGCAGACAGGTTGTGAAAACCTGAGGAATAGCCTTGAGTTCTGCAAAAAAAAAAGTCAATTTGCTGCCATGCCTCTGGGAGATGTTGTTTGGGTTTGGAATTTGGGCAGGTGCAGCCACAGTTAGCTGTTGCAGGGGGTGAATACAATGTGGCTTGTCCTCCACCACCCCTTCCTGCAGGCCCTGCCATACAAGTGTATCTGGATCCTGGTTACCCCCAGTGTGTTCTGTTGTGCTCCTCCCCATGCAGGGGTGTCTGACCAGCAGTGACCTGAGTGCCACACAGCCTTGTAGGGGAGAGTACAGCTTTGGCTCTCTGTTTTGTTTTTTTTTTTCCTGATGTATGTTATGGACTGAGGTCAGGGCTGAACTCCAGGCTTCTCCCAGCCACACACAGAACTCATGTTTGCTTCCACCCCTTCAGAGCGAGAAGCAGCATCTTGCATTGTGCTGAAGCAGTGGCAATGGAAAGCTGTGTATAAATACTGATAGATGGGTTGTGTCATGAGCTGATCAAGATCTGTGCTGTCAGCAGGAAAAATCAGGTCTGCTTAACCTAAATGGCTAGACAGCTCTGGAGAGATTAGCAGGTAGTACAGGGCAGGGGTGATCTGACTTAAGTGACAGTCTTTTCTATCAAGGAGTCACATGTGAGCTAAACAGTGAAGGTGATTTTGAATGTGAGTGTCAGGGACTTCACAGCGACCTGTTTTTCAGTGCAGGGGGGTAAGAAGCTTCTGAATTGGGTTTTGATACGAAGCACCTATGAAGACAGGGTGAGGGAGCTGGGCTTGAGTAAAGAAGGCTGCGGGGTGACCTCATGGCAGCCTGCAGGACCTAAAGGGAGCCTGCAGGCAGAAGGGGAATCAACTCTTGGAAAGGGGAGATGACAGCAGGACAAGGGGAAATGGTTTGAAGTTGAAGGAGGGGAGATGGAGGTTGGATGTCAGAGGGAAGTTCTGTGCTGTGAGAGCAGTGAGGTGCTGGAACAGCTGCCAGAGAGGCTGCGATGCCCCGTCCATCCCTGGAGGTGTTGGAGTCCAGGTTGGATGGGGCCCTGGGCAGCCCGGGCTGCTGTTGAATGTGGAGGTTGGTGGCCCTGCGTATGGCAGGGGGTTGGAGCTTCGTGATCCTTGAGGTCCCTTCCAACCCTGGCCGTTCTGTGATACAGAGCGAGTCCAGAGTCTGGGATTTTCTGTGCTTTTAGACACCGTGGAAATAGTTGTTTCAGAGTAAGCACTTGAAGAGAGACGCATGAAAACAGTTCAAACCTCTCAACGCTAAAGAGAAACGAATTTTTCTTCCTGTAGCTTCTCGTGGCTGGGGCAGGCGGTCCGGCTGCGGGGCTCCCAGCGTGCGGAGCCGCCGTGGACGGGCGGGCGGCGGCGCCGCTGTGCCGGAGGAGCTGGGGGGGAGGGGCGGAGAGGCAGCCCAGACTCTCATTGGCCGATCCGGAGCGCGTTCCCGACGCCTATTGGCTGCCGCGACAGCCGTGGGGTGTCCCGGCCGTGGGCGCTTCCACGGCTCCATTGATCGCGCGGCGCCGCCGGTGGAGGGAGCGGACGGGACGCGATGAGCTGCGGCGAGTGAGCGCGGGTGGGGCGGGCGGAGGGAAGGGTGCGGGCTGGGAACGGGGCTGCGGCCCCAGCTGTCCGGCAGCCAGGGCTCATTGCCTGACCCCTCTTCACCTCTAGGCTTTTCCAGGTCTATAGCACGCGAGCTGTCACTCCCCCAGCTATGCCTGTGGACCTGGCCATGCGGCTCTGCCTGAGCCGTTCACCCCCTATTCGCAAGCTACTGAATTCTTATGAGGAGCTCCGGAGCAGCCGGGGACGCAAACCGCTCCGCTCCTGTCTGAACCTGAAACAGAGCGCAGATCATGAGCCTGAGTGGAGGGAGAACACCAAGAGCTCCAAAAGTCAGAAGAAGAAGAGGGTGGTATTTGCTGACATGAAGGGGCTCTCGCTGACAGCTGTCCGATTCTTCTCAAAGATCGAGGAGGACCTCTGTGATTTGCAGCATGCCCTGTCAGACCTCACCTGCTTCCGGCCCAGGTTCCGGGACTCGCACTCAGAAGCAGGCAGGTATGTGCTGGACTTCCCACAACCCTCTGCAGACTATGCAACCTTCCGCAGCCGCCTGCTCAGCAACCTGGTCTGCCTGGAGAGCTGCCTGATCCAGGACCATGCCCTGTCTGGGACAGTGAAGGTCAGAAACATTGAGTATGAGAAGAAAGTCCTCATTCGCATCACCTTTGACGGCTGGAAGAGCTTCCGCGACATCTCCTGCCAGTACATGCATAGCACGTATGGCTCAGCAGACACGGACACCTTCTCCTTTGAGCTCTCCCTTCCCAAGCCCTCTAGCTCCTCCAAGGCCACAGAGTTCTGCATCTCCTTCCGCTGTGGGCAGAAGACCCACTGGGACAACAACCATGGGCAGAACTACAGGATCTACCACTTGGGTGTCATACGCTCACCCTCCCATGCTGTGAAGAGTGCCAAGGGGGCCCGGGAGCACCTTGGCACCTCCCGGGCTGCTGCCCTCGTCCTTTCTCACCTGCAGAGCTGGCGCCATTCAGAGCCTCAAGCCCCGTACTGGTAGGGAGGTGCTTTGGAGGGGGCTGTAGGTCCCTTATGTCCCTGCTTTGGTACAAGGGCCCTGGGGGAGGATGGGGACAACAGCATCAAGTGCTGCTCCCAGCTGTGTTAGCTTCTCCACGAGCTTGCCTGGCTAAGGTACAAGCAGCTGCTGGGCTTCAAAGCTGGGCCCCGCTACATCTTAAGCTGGGAGCCATTTCGGTGAAATTCCTGCCGGTCCATCCTCCAGGCAGCGCTAGCACGAGAGAACAGGAGTGACGGGCGTGAAGCCGGCCGACCCCGCATGTGCTCCGGTGCGAGCCTGGGGCGCGATGAGCGGGACAAGTGCCTTCGTGCAGGCAGAGGGAGCGGCTCGGGGCCGTGGCAGCGAAGCGGAGGCGGATGCTGCGGGCGGGACGAGGGCGTGACGAGGCCGCTCGGTGCGCCTCGGTCCGGCCGCGCTGTTACGGGAGGCAATAAAGTGACGGCACGGTGCGAGTTCGCCTCTCATTTCGGCGGCGTGCGGCGCCCCCTGCCGACAGGGAGGTTTGCGGCGGCGCTGCGTGCGCGGCCCCGCGAGAGACGTGATGACGTCAGCGCACGCGGGGCGGAGGCGCGGCGCGCACGGTGCGTGGCGGGGGCGGAGCCGGGCCCGGCGGCAGTGGAGGCAGGTGAGTGCGCGAGCAGCCCGGCCCGGCGCTCCTCCTCCTCCTCCCCCGCCGTCCCGCTCCGGTCCCGACCGCGATCTCCGTCCCGCTGCGATCGGCGGAGGAAGCGGAGAGACGGGGCCGGGCCCGAGCCGCCCGCGGACCGTTAACCGGCTTCCGCGTTACGAAGCGCGGCCTCCTCCGTGCCGCGGGCCGCGCCGTACCGCCCCGCTCGCGGTGTGAGCGCCCCGCCCCGCCCCTCCGCACCGGCAGCCGCTGCCAGCGCGCGCGAAGGTCGCCGCCGGTCCCGGCCCTGCCCGGATTCGCCGCGCCCGTGGGCGGTGTCCCGTAGGCCGTAACAAAGCGCTCCCGGCCTCGGCTGACCGCGTTGGGTGGAAGGGCGCGGCTTCGGACCCCGAGCGCGGGGCTCCACGAGAGATCGGGGGCTGCCGGACCGTGGCTGCTGCTGTCGGGTTGAATCGGGCACCGCACGTGGCCCTTGGCTCGTAGGGCCGGGGCACGGCGGGGACGCGGAGCTGAAACGTGGAGCTGAAACGTGGGACTGAACGGCTGGCGGGGCCAAAAGCTGCCGGGGCCGGGCCGACAGTGAGAGCTGTGGCTGAAGGACGGTCACGTTTGTGGCTGCAGAACTGCTGCTGACAGGGAATAGTTTGTGAAGGTTTGTAGAGGTGCAGTTTGTGTTCTTCTGAAGCAGTAACGCTGCAGTGCCAGCAGCTGCAACTCTCTACGTACAGGGGAGCAGAATGGTATTCCCACCTTCATCCTCTGAGTTCAAGCACTGTTCCATCCCACCCTTAGGCTGACACCGTGCCCTCTGGCAGCAGGCAGAGATAATATCTGGAGGGAGTTCTCCCCTCAGCAGTCGCTCCAAGCAGTGCTGGCCTCACGCAGACCTGTTCTGCCAGGTCATCCCCTGCCAGGGCTGCAGTGCTATGTTGACCTTTGACTGCTCCCCGTGTCCCGGTGAGTTCCACCGTGGCTAATCATCAGCAGTAATTCTCCCCTTGGGCTAACTTCCTGTCATGCATTGTTTGTAAAGCTGCCCTGTGTAAGCAGTAGGTGAGCCACACCCCAGGAACCTGTGTACAGGGGTAGAGGAAGTGATTCCTTCCCAGGAATCCAACACACTGCTGGCTCTCTGAGCTTGGATTCCTCTGAAATGAGAGGGGTGCTGAGGGCTCTGTCATTCAGAAGGGTTTTCTGCTACTTCATTGGCTCTTTTCCTGTACTTGGGACCTGTTTAGATACACTCAACATCCTGTGCTCTGGAGTGGCTCTGGTCGGAGCCACTCAGTACGAGGTTTGTCTGGGAGGAAGGCACAGGATGTGTGTCTGATGGTGTGAAATGGAAGCTGGAGTACCAGTCTGAGTCTGAAGTGTCTCAGGAGCTGCTTGGAGTGATGTGTCCTCAGGCTGATCAATGCCCTCATGCTTTCAGCACCCACTGTCCTTGGCCTCCTGCCATTGACGTCTCTGAGTTGCGTGACTTGCCTGACTTCAGTTTCTCTTTCCTCCTGTAGTGCTGGTGACATGTGAGTGCCTGGTCTACCAAGAAGCCAACGCACTGTTTGGAGAGCTTTCCAGGGACACGGGTTTCATTTGAGTCAGTTACAACTCTTCAACGTGAGTGGATGCCAGAAGCCTCTGGAATTAAACTTGTTACAGGCGTCATGTGAGGATCTGAGCCAGTCTCTGTATCCTGGAAGGAGAAATAATAGCTCCACATACAGTAGGCTCCTGCAAGTGCCAACTCCCTCAATTTCCTCCAATGCAGGCTCAGAGATGGACTTCATCTTGTCCCCGTGAGGAGACTCTGCATACTCTCAGCAGCCTGAAACGAATTCTACTGCCAGTGTCTTCAGAAGCTGCTCCTCAGGAGGATTTGCTCAGCAGTGCTGTGGAAGAGCCTGTATTCACACAGCTGTTCCAGGACTGTACTCACTGCAAACCCATGGAGGAACCTGCCTGCATGCTCCATCTTCTTTGAGCTCCTTAACGTGCACTGTTTGAACTGTTTGGGACTCCTGGCAGTATTTGCTTGTTTTCCCAACCTCTCTCCCAGATACTGTTCGTTCCCTCTCTCACAGAGCCCGAAAAGGATGTGAACTTTGGAATGGGGTCTGTGAGCAACAGCGGACTCATTGCACGTGTGAGACTATTACTGAATAGTAGGAGGACTGTTTAACTGCTGCAGGCAGCCTTCCTGTTTGGCTGCAGGGTCGCAGGGCACCAGCCTTGCTTGGGCCCTTCATCATGTTCCTCCTGCTCCCCTTTGACAGCCTAGTTGTCAATCTCTTGGGAATCTCCATAACCGTCCTCTTCACTCTACTCCTGGTTTTCATCATTGTGCCAGCAATTTTTGGAGTTTCCTTTGGCATCCGCAAGGTTTACATGAAAACATTATTGAAGATTTTTCAGGTAAGTCACGTTTTCAGAGTTTTCTGTGCTGAAGGATGTTTACAGGGGTCTCATAAGTGCATTAATGGTAGGAGGAGAAGCTTTTCCCATTCTGTAGAGCACAGCAGACACCAGGGCCGGGAGCATGGTTTGCTGTTAATGTGCTGGTGCCAGATGACCTGCTGCAGTCACCTCAGCCAAATGCAATTTACTGGATTCCTGTTCACAGGTTGTGGTTTTTTTTCTCTGTGGTTAGGCTACTGAGTCTTCAAACGAAGCAGTAAGACAGCATAGCCCATAAGTATGCAAGCAGTACAGCAGTACCAGGGGATGTGCTGGGAGGAGGTGTGTGCTTGGCCACGTTAATGCAAGGCAGAGAGCTGTCACAGTTTGATATGGAGGGAAGCCAAAAGGGGTGTGAGATGTGACAGAAAGGAACTGCAGTCAGCGTGCTGCTCATCTCCAGTATGTTTGGACGAAGCAAAAGCAGGCAGCAAGGTGGAACTTCAAGTGGCTGCAAGCCCTGGGCAGTCTGTGGCCAGAACACAGAGTTCCTGAGTCCCAAAGTGCTGCCTGCTTATCTGCTGAGCCCAGCAGTCACAGCTGGACCTGCAGCTCTGAGGACAGCAGCAGCACTCCTTGCTCCTCTTGGCACGAAAAAGCCAAGTGGAATTTTCCATGTTGGGGTCATGCTGTTCCCCTGGCTGCCTTCAGCAGACTTATTTCTGGGCCATCTTAGCCAGCGCCTCTCCTTGAATCAAATCCCTGCTGAGAGCAGAATTTTTGCAAAGCTCCCAGTAGATAAAACCCAAACCAACCCAAATCAACCCAAGCCTGGCAGCCCAGGGAAAACGAATAAGATAGCACTGAGCATAGCAGGGAAGTTTCAGGCTTTTAAATGTGATGTCCAAACTTCTACAGTATTCAGTTAGCTAGGAACAGAGCTGGTCTTGTCTGGGAGCGTCTCTGTACTGGCTGGCTGGAGAGGGCAGCCCTGCAGCTTGCTGTTTTCAGTGCTTTGTCCAAGTCCTCCCAAAATTTGTGGTGTGAGGGGGAAGACCCAGTGCTTTGTGACGTGCTTCATTATCACTGGTGTCTGAAGATCTGGTTTTTAATTTAGTGACTGAACAGAGAGGGAAAAAAAAGAATAAGAAGAATTTTGGCTTATCTGAAATGGAACATTTTGTTTTACTGTAATTATTTTTCCTTTCTTTCATTCGGTGAAGGAACGTTTAATCTCAGCACATTTTGGTGTTCAATTTTGCAGCCGTTTTTCTGGGAAGAAATCTATTTCAGCTTTTATCAAAGAACCTTTGTGGTGGGAGAGAGGAGCTCTGTGGCAGAATATCTCCTAGATTGACGTAAAGCTCAGTGGCTGGGTTTGGTCATTCGGAATTGTAAGAGGAGTATAATTCAGAAGGAATATTTTTCAAGTTCTTGAGGCCAGTGATGCAAACACAGCCCAGGAAGCAGCACCTCAGTCTGGCAAGATGGGGAGTTGTGGGGCCCAGGGTGGCAGCCACACGCCTGTGTTTGTGAGGAGGGAGATCTGCCCACTGCTTCCCACGTGGCAGGCTGGGTTTTCTGCCACCGTGGTCTCTACTGTGGGGCTGGCAAGGAATGTGCCTTCTGTACAGGCTTCCCCCCTTCTGTTGGGTCAGAGCTTCTCTTTTGCCTTCTGGGAATGGCAATGTCTGGACAGTCTTCTGCAATCCTTGTACTTGCAGAGGAGGCTGCCAGATGAGCTAGAAGCTCCACCCCCAGTTAACATTCCCACATCACTGCTTTCTCATCTTACAGTGTCATGAGTTGAGACTGGGAACCATGGAGTTCTCAGCAATTTCTGCTTCTTCATGGATGACTGATGGAGTAACTGAGGGTTACTCAGTCTGAGGGTGCTTGCTGCTGCTATTTTGGACTGACTATGAACTGAGAAGCAGTAGGGAGGCATCCCATCTCCTCATCAGGCTGGCCTGATGTGCTTAGCAGCAGCCTGAAAACAGTCTCTGCTTTGAGTCTGAAGGAATTCAATAGTGGAAAATAGTGCTGGTTCTGTTATCTGCTTGCTGAGCTACATCACCTTCCAGGAGGGCATGCAGGATGAAGGTCCATCTGGAGGCTGTGCAGTGGCAGCCACGTGCAATCAGCAACAGCCTGCAGGAGGCTGTAGAAAGACTGGCTGGGCCATCTCACCACTGAATACCATTCCAGCTTCTGGCACTCATTCTGCCCCTGGAGCTCTGCTGTGCAGAATGGTACACAAGCATGTGCACAGTATGTCTTTCCTAAGTGCTGGTCACCTTCCCATTACTCCTCCTGTTCCATTTCTTCCCAGTCTAATGTCTGCTTCCACTTCACTTCAGCTGCATGTTCATCACTCACACAGTTCTGTATGGAAGCATCCTGCTTTCATCTCATTTGGTCCCCTTAAGCACGATCTTCTCCAGAAGCCAGCTGTGAATCAGGAATAGCATCAAGAGGAGCTGCAGGCTTTGACAGTTCTGTTTGCTGTGTGTGTCTCTTGCAGTGGGCGACACTGAGAATAGAGCGTGGTGCCAAGGAGAAGAACCATCCATTATACAAGCCCTATGTCAATGGTAAGATCCTGCCCTTCTTGGGCACATCTGAAGCTGATATTTCTGCGTGGTAAATGGAGTGTTTTTGAGAGCTGAAGTGTGGTGGATGCCCTCTCCACATAGACGGATTGGCAGTGGATGTGGAAAGGTTTGGTGCGTGAGGCACCCAGGGCGTTTCATGTCTAGGTAGTCGGGAGGGCTGGAGGAAGGAAGGGAGCCTTGTGTGGGTCCACAGAGATCCCCCTGGCCCTCAGCTGCCATTCAGCAGGCCAGTCACACTTTGCTCAGAGCTGCCCTTGGCTCGTTGCAGGTATCATTGCAAAGGAGCCAACATCTCTGGAAGAGGAGATCAAAGAGATCCGTCGGAGCGGCAGCGGCAAAGACCTGGACACCCCTGAGTTTGAGCTCTCAGATATCTTCTATTTCTGCCGCAAAGGCATCGAGACCATCATGGATGATGAAGTGACCAAGAGGTTTTCAGCTGAAGAGCTGGAGTCCTGGAATCTGCTCAGCAGGACCAACTACAACTTCCACTACATCAGCCTGCGCCTCACTGTACTCTGGGGACTGGGTGTTGTCATCCGCTACTGCTTCCTTCTGCCCCTCAGGTGGGTGCTGCTGCAGAAACCTGTGACCTGTTCCTGGTGCAACTGGTCCCCCAGCTCACAGACCCTGCTTGACGTGTCTGGGAGAGACAGGTTATGTGATGGGCAGAGCCTCTGGCCTGGATTTGCTAGCATGTAGCTTCTGTCTTTCTGCAGGATAGCCCTGGCGTTCACTGGCATCAGCTTGTTGGTGACTGGTACTACAGTGGTGGGATATTTGCCAAATGGAAGGTGAGTTGGCCTTTGTAAGAAGTGATGGGCAGCTCCCTGTGCTGTTTGAGACCTGATAGTTAGGAAATTTTCCTGCAAAGCCTGTCTCTTCTGCGTGCTGCAGATGAAGCAGGGGGTCCTGTCATCTGTAGCCTGTCAGGAATGTATATGTTACTACTTTAAATAAAAGGCCTAGATGTGAATATTAAGCCTGTGACAGAGCTCTTAGCCCAGGTCTCTGAAAGGAGTAAAAACAGAGAAGAGTGAAAGCAAAAGCTTGGTTTTCATGAGATATGAATCAGTAAGCAAACAGCACAACCAAACAGGAGGTGTGTTTACGTGGGCACCATGTGAAATGGGATCTCCTGACCTCATACAGCTGGGCTGAGTGGCCCCAATATGGGCAGCTGGGGCCTGATGCTCTCTGTTCTGGGTGCAGGTGTAAGGAGTTCCTCAGCAAACACGTCCACCTGATGTGTTACCGGATCTGCGTGCGTGCCCTCACAGCCATCATCACCTACCATGACCGGTAAGGCAGCGCTGTCTGCTGCAGTATCTGTGCCTCTTGCAGGCCTCACTCTTCATCCTTCTGCCCTAATCTGTGCTTTTGTTTTGCTTTTAGAGAAAACAGACCCCGAAATGGAGGCATTTGCGTGGCCAATCACACATCCCCCATTGATGTGATCATCCTGGCCAGTGATGGCTACTATGCAATGGTAAGGTCTGCACCCCAGCTCTGCCTGCTGTTGTGTTGCTTGCTTTCCAGCAAGCTTGACCTCCCTTGGTGCTTGCTGCATCTTTACATTTAGAGCCTGGAATTTTTCCTCTCAGCCTTACAGGGACTGGGGTAGAAAGATGAACTTCAGCTTAGCAACAAAGCTATAGGAGCTGCCTTGGCCTGCGTGTGTCCCCAGGTCTTGTAACTTACGTTTTCTCACCCTGTTCAGGTGGGTCAAATCCACGGAGGGCTCATGGGTGTGATACAGAGAGCCATGGTGAAAGCTTGCCCCCACGTCTGGTTTGAACGTTCTGAGGTCAAAGACCGTCACCTCGTTGCCAAAAGGTGGGACAGCTGCTAGCTGCAGGGGGGCTCTGGAGGCTGGGAAAGGGTTGGGGGCTGCTGTGTGGATTGCCAGGACAGCTCCAATGATGATTGGTGACTCTCTTCTGTTTAGGCTCACAGAGCACGTCCAGGACAAGAGCAAACTGCCTATTCTTATCTTTCCGGAAGGTGAGTTGAGGAGTGGGGCCAGGCAACCACCTGGTGGAGGAAGGCACAGCAGCCCTCCTGTCTCAGTGATGTTACACATCTTGTGCACATACAGAGCAGGGTTTGGAGTGTCAGGGGCAATTGCTGGGTTGCCTGTAGGTGTATAGCTTAGACTTCTGAACTGACCTGCAAAGATTGTGCTTGTCTCTTACAGGAACCTGCATCAACAACACGTCCGTGATGATGTTCAAAAAAGGGAGCTTTGAAATTGGAGCCACAGTTTACCCTGTAGCCATCAAGGTATGAGAAGGCAAACGTTTTTACAGCAGAAATAGTTTTCTGCTTACAAAGTCAGCATTGATAACCCAGTATTGGCACCACTGGGTCACAACAGCCTGGTCCTCAGGCCATGGGATATGGGGATGCTGAGCACTGATGTGCAGTGGGGGAGGAATGGCCCATAGTTGGATTTGATGTAGAACTCGGAGCCTCGGGGAAGGTGCATCCATTACCTGACATTCATAAGCTCTCCTTCCTCCACAGTATGATCCACAGTTTGGAGATGCCTTTTGGAACAGCAGCAAGTATGGCATGGTGACCTACCTCCTTAGGATGATGACCAGCTGGGCCATTGTGTGCAGTGTGTGGTACTTGCCCCCAATGACCAGACAGGTAGGTAAGGTGAACCTGCCCTGTCTGATCTGCTGCCTGTTTGGCCTCATGCTCTGTCTGAGCAGTGTCGTTTTCCTTCAGTGTGATGAGGATGCTGTCCAGTTTGCCAATCGAGTGAAGTCAGCTATTGCCAGGCAGGGAGGCCTTGTAGATCTGCTCTGGTGAGTCCTGCCAGACATTTCTCCTCCCAGCTCTATTCTTTGTTCTTGGGTCCTGATAACGTGTTTGTAAGCTGCAAAGCTGAGTTTGTGTCTTGCACTGGGCAAGTAGACCTGTGTAGAAATGGGGATGCATGTCCAAAACTGCCTTTCTATAGTCAAGACCAGCATTTTGACTTCTGTTCTGTGTGTTGGGCACCAAAATTTCATTCTCTGAATGCAGCTTGCTCTGGGATACCCCAGTTCTTACTTGATGTTGTTCAGCAAAGCATTGTGAAGCTTGAGAACCTCCCTTGTCAGGCATTGAGATCTTTGGAGCCTGAGAGGTTGAGGGTGCCTGCAAGCAGCATGCTGCAGTGGTGCTGGATGTGCTGAGCACTGTGCAGGGCTGTGTGTGACATTCTTGGCAGAGCATGAGGTGAAAGGAGCTGCCCCTGTGTACAGTCAGCCTTCAGTATGCTCTGTTAACCTAAGGGACAAATGCACCCATCGGGTTGATGTGGGAGTTCCAACCTGCTCAGAGCAGCAGTGTCAGTGTGTTCCTTTAGCTGCATTGTAAATGATTCTTTTTCTAGGGATGGAGGTCTGAAGAGGGAGAAGGTGAAAGATACATTCAAGGAGGAGCAACAGAAACTTTACAGCAAAATGATTGTAGGCAACCACGAAGACCGGAGCCGCTCCTGAGTCCTCTGTCTCCAGCACTGTCTCCAGAGCTCTGCCTCCAAAGTGAGCCAGGTCTTGTACAAAGCAGCTCCATTTCTTTTGGACTTTGGCTACTCCAGAGCTGTTTGGACTTTCTCCTTCATCTACTGGCTCTTCTTTCCAGGAGGCATTATTACTGCCTAAAGCCTTCAGGCCTTAGGCAACTCTTGGCACAGATGCCTTCTTGTTACTGTTACAGTAAAGCCCCTTGCAGGGGCAATATTAAATGAAACACTTCTGGTGTCATATGCTTCCATATGGTGTTTACAGGCCCAGGGGGAGGGCTGGTGTGTTGATGTGCATGTGTGTCAGTCACAAGTCTCCCACGGCACAGAAACTGGTGAGCTGTGCTCAGATAAGCTGCCTTGACAACCAAGGGAACCTTACAAGCCTGTGCCTCTCAGGGCTGCAGCACAAAACGTGTATTGCTGCTCCAGCCTCCAGGCTCATGGAGCTTTTCCCTGCCTCAGGTCCTTCACACTGAGCCCCCCAGGTGTGCCCTGCTCTGAGTGGCTTTGGGGAGCCACAGGGAGGATACCCAGTGCCCCCTTGGTGTCTCTGCACTGAGCTGCAGACAGGCATGCTGCACTGGGCTGGGGACATGAGCATCACTGCTCATTTGGGGCAGATTCTCCAGTCTCCCTTCACCTTTCCCCAGCCACTTCTCCCTGAGCACTGATCACAACCAGCGCTCCACTTTTCCAGAGGGACAAGGCATTGCTTTTGGCTGTGCAAATAGCTGCACACAGAGGCAGGGGCTGTGCCAGGAGCAGGCGTTGCCATGCTGGGTGCCCATAATACCCCTGCACCCAGAACTCAGACCTGGCTGCAGTTGCTTGCTGGTCTGCCTGCAGCAGGACCCTGGCTCTGTCACGGGTGCTGTGGTGGCAGCAGCAGCCTGTGGCTCCTGGCTGCTTCCATCCTCGTTGTGCTTGGGGCCCATCTTCACCGTCCTGCTGCCGCTGGGATGCTGTGCAGCAGGCTGGGCAGGTGAGCAAGCACGCATCCATCTTTCCTCAGCTCCCCCTCCCTTTGCTCCCAGTCAATATGTCTCTCTCCGATGGGAAAGTTAATAAATTTAGCTCTAGATTAAAAGTATTGATCATTTCATTTGTAAGCGATAAATAACTGGGGGGAGCGTGGGGCAGCCCTTGGGGTAGGGGCTGCCGGCCCTGGCAGCAGCAGCCATGCAGCCCGTTGGGGCTGGGGGCCCTCATATGCATTCTGCCCAGATGCTGGCATTGATTTGCTATTAGTCTCCCCACACCACCCAGTAGCACATCATTCCCGGAGCCGCTATTAATGGCCTTTTGATAAATAATCACTTGTAAGTCAATAAATTTTTATTAAACAGTGTGGCGCTTTGATTTATGAAAATCCGACGGGGTTTGTCTGGGAGAAAAGGGATGTGGAATTGAAACGGAGCTGCCATCCATCTGCCTGCCAGCCCACCCTGCTCGAGCTCCACAGTAGTGCCCAGTGAGGAGCACAAGGAGGGCCTGGGACGCAGCGCTGGCTCTCACCATGGGCTGGTCTCTGTGAGCCCTGTGAGCTCCGGTGCTGGCTGGAACATCCACAGCAGCCATCAGCCGTGCCACGTGCTTGGCACCATCCATTGGTTCTGGCTGCAGGGCTGTGGGACGAAGAGAGCTGGAGGTGGGATTAATCCTGCAGTGCAGCCCCGTGAGCAGCTCTGCAGCTCAGGTACAGCCGTGGGATGCTGAAGGCAGCCAAGCTGTGGCTGCGATTTGTCACTCCTGGGCTGCAGCCGGCCCTTTGCCACCTGCTTTATTTGTCTCCCAGCACTGACGTGGCATCAGACAGGTGTTAAACTACTTAATCACTTTAAAATTGTTTTAATTTTCTGTTTTCTATTGATCTCCACAGCACCAATTAATCAGCTCACTGGACCAGGCAGTTAGTACATTAAAAATTGTCAGCCACGTCGAACAGCTTAGAAAATGTCAAAAAAATATCCCAGCAGCAGCCTCACACTCTGGCCACGCAGAGAACGCTCCTGCACTGCAATGCCCAAGGATGGTGCATGACTCCACAGCCCTGCAGCCGAGCAGCATCAGCTCAGAGGAACCCAGTGGCCGCGTGGTTGGGGTAGCATTGCACCTCCCATGCTTGCTGGGGCAGTTCAGCCTTCCCCAAACCCCCAGGATGTGCAGCAAAGCTGTCCGGGATACCTGCAGAGCTCAAAGTGCGATGGAAAGCAAGGACCTGGAGCTGTGTGCGTGCCTTGGGGCTGGGCAGCTGGAGGCCCAGTGTCAGCCTGCAGCATCCCAATGCCATAAGGGAGCATCGGGGGCTGCTGTGATGCAGGACCTGCGCTGTGCAGGTGGGGACGTGGACACTAATGCTGCCTGCAGCTGCCAGAGGGGCCCCCAACAGCACCTCCGCTCCCGTGCCACGCTGCCAACCACTGCGCAATGGCTCAGCAGCACCTTATCGTTGCCTATTGATTTCTCCACCAGGACACCGCAGCACTGTTTGCTTGCACTTTGTCAGCTCTCGGCGGCCCCAGCAGCAGCAGCCCCTTGGCACCTCAGGCAGCAAGGACAGGTGGTGGCCCTGTGCCATCAGCAAGCAGAAGCTGAGCCAGTGGGAGCTGAGGAGGGGGGCACGGCCCCAGGAGTGCATGCAGCCTGCACCGAGCTGGGTGCAGCATGGGGGGGCCCCCACAGGTTGGCAGCAAACAAGCCAGGGCTATTGCTGTCGCATCAATCCTGCAGCCCCGACAGGTGAATGGGCTCTCACTCACACAGTTAAGATAAATGATATTTATTTGCTGCTAATAGGTTCCAACAAGAGGCCCTAACGAGTGACTTTTGGACAGCACTTCTTGCTACCAGCACACACCCAATCTGGGGAAACTCTGGGGGACATTCCTGCCCCATACATGGACCCCCAGCCTCAGCCCCTTCCCAGCCCAGCCTTTGGGGCACCCCGCATTGCAGACCCATGTGGGGCAGGGGCTTTTATTTCACTGCTGCTGTTCCCAGACCCTGAGCCCTGGGCAGGAGCTGCAGTGGGGGCACAGCAGAACCCATTCCCAGGTGCTCAGCCACTGTGTGTGCCCAGCCCCAGCACAGAGAAGGCTGCACGGTGCTTCCTCAGCAGCAGCCGAATCTTCTCATCGTCAGAGTCAGGGTCCAGGGGCTTGTTGTACTCATCATCCTCGGTCTCAGAGGCTGCCCGCTCTCCACTGGAGCCCCCCGCCCGCTGCGAGGAGGAGGAGGGCTCCAGGGCACTCTTCTTCCTCCATTTGGTGCGTCGGTTCTGGAACCAAACCTGCAGCCCAACAGGGCTGTTAGCAGCCGCCTGCCACACGCCCCACACACCACACAACCCCCACTCACCTTCACCTGGGACTCAGTCATGCCGAGGGAATATGCCAGCCGTGCCCTCTCTGGCCCTGCCAGGTACTTGGTCTGTTCAAATGTCTTCTCCAGAGCGAAGATCTGATGCCCTGTGAAGGTCGGACGCGTGTGCTTCTTCTTGTGCAGGCTGTCAGTCAGGTGTGCAGGGGCTTTGGGACAAGGGCAGTGGGTGAGCACCGGACTCATGGCTCTGGGCAGCCCAATCCCCACGCCCCTTTATGCCGCTGCTCTCCTCCAAAGTAAAACAATATCCTGGCTCCACAGCTTCGACCTCGTCCTGGGAGAGCTGTGTTGCCTCCAAGGCTGGGCTCTGCACCTCCTGCTTGGGAGCAGAAACTATTTGCTGTGCTGAGAAGGGAACAAGCATTAGGAGCAGCATGTGACTGTGGAGCCACGCTGCACTGGGAGCACCGTGCCCATGCCCCCCACCTCCCTAAGCGTGCAGTGGGAAGGAAGTATGAGCTGATCCATCTGCTCCACGGGCATCACCTGGAGAGGGGAACAGGGCTGCAGGTCACTGAGCCAGAGCCCCAGCCTCCTGGATTTTCTGTGGGCTCCTAATGAGCTAGTGCCTGTGCTCACTCAGCACAGTCCCATCATGGCAGCAATGTGCTCCTCAATGCCCCTGCCAGCTGCGTGCCAGCCATGACAGACCTTGTTCCTGGCATTCACCAAGAGATGCTACTGCCAGGGACTGGGAGTCTCTGTGAGTAGACGGTCTGCCTGGGCTCTGCCTGTGCTCTGCCTAAGCTCCCCAGCCGTGCCCCCCCAGCACATCCCCAGGTGTCAAGCTGTGCCTCACACAAAGCAATGGAGGAGATGGGGTCCCACCAGCTGCCCACCCTCTCCCAGCCCCGTACTTACGGCCACCGCACTGCCGGCTGCCCTGCCAGTCGGGTGCCTCTGCCCAGCAGCTCCTGCCCCGTGGCACGTAATCGCTGCTGGCTTTAGGGAGGGCCCCCACCTGTGGCCCATAATAGACGCCTGGGGAGCTCAGTCCATTAAATCCACCTGCGTGGGGGTAGCTGGGCAGTAGGCTGCTGTTTGGAGTCGCTGTGGGCCGGCCGAGGATGTCGGAGATGCCGTGTGGGGTGCCGGCAGCCAGTTGGGCACCCAGCCCAGGGGGACCCAGCTTGTAGAAGGAGCTCTGCACCGAGTACTGGCAGACAGGTGCCTTGGCCTCAGGGAAGGGGGCCAGTGAAGGGCCGCTGAGCAGGAAGGTGCCTGGCAGGTTGGTGTCCATGGCTCCTGGACTGCTCTCAGAGGCTGGCACTCCGAGGGCATGATGCGCAGCCCATCCCGGTTGGCCTTGGGGCTACCGGCTCGCAGCGTCCACACCAGCTGCCACGGTGCCAATGGGCAGCCGAAAGGCTGGTGAGCTGCCCCAGGGGGGCCAGGGCCACGGCAGCAGGTGGTCACTGCCTCGGTGGCAGCTGCCCCCGGCTGACCCCGCACCCGACGTGGCACCGGCACCGGGCACTCAACTTGGGCTTGGGAAGAGGCAACATTTCTCTGATAAAGATGAGGTCTATTAGAATACGGCGCTCCCATTGGCCGAGAGGTTTCAAAGGCTAGCGCCCATAGGCCGGATCTCCGCAACCTCGATTCTAATTGGCTACGCTCACGGGCAGCCCGGGATTGGTTCTGCCCAGACAAATCGTGCTTTGAGAGCCGGCGGCGAAGAAGCCGCCGCGGGGCCCGGGCTGCGAGAGGCTGCGTTGCAGCACCACGGCCGCTGGACAGCGCCGGGCAGATCGCCGGGGGGGGGGGGGGGAGGGGAAGGAAAAGGGGGTGACAGAATCACAGAATGACGGAAACACCGAGGTTGGAAAAGACCTCCAAGATCATCCAGTCCCACCATCACCAACAGCACTCACTAAACCACGTCCCTCAACGCAAAATCCAAACATTCCTTCAACACCTCCAGGCTCGGTGACTCCACCACCTCCCTGGGCAGCTCACTGCAGTGCCTGACCGCTCTTTTGGAGCAGTAATATTTCCTAACCAGCCTAAATCTCCCCTGGTGCAGCTTGAAGCCATTCCCTCCAGTTCTGTCACTGTTACACGAGAAGAGGCCGACCGCCAGCTCGCTACAACCTCCCTTCACGTAGCTATAGAGAGCAGTGAGGTCTCCCCTGAGCCTCCTCCAGCCTGAACAACCCCAGCTCCTTCAGCCTCTCCTCATCAGCCCTGTGCTCCAGACCCCTCACAGCTTTGTCGCCCTTCTTTGAACCCGCTCCAGGGCATCCATGTCTTTCTTGCAGTGTGGGCCCAAATCTGGACACAGCACTCGAGGTGCGGCTTCACAGAGCTGAGTACAGGGGACAATCACTGCCCTGTTCCTGCTGGCAGCACCGTTCCTGATGTGAGCCAGGATGCCCTGGACCTTCTTGGCCACCCGCGCACACTGCTGGCTCGCGTTCAGCCGCACCAATCGACACCCCCAGGTCCGTTTCCTGCATGCAATCTTCCAGCCATCACCCCCAAGTCTGTAGCGTTGCCTGGGGTTGTTGCAGCCAAAGTGCAGGACCTGGTATTTGGCCTTGCTGAACCTCATCCTATTGGCTTCAGCCCAGCTTTCCAGGCTGTCCAGATCCCTCTGCAGGGCCTCGCTGCCCCCAGGCAGATCCACACTTCCAGCCAACTGGGTGTCAGCTGCAAACTTCCTAGGGTGCACTCAGTGCCCTCATCCAGGTCACCAATAAAGATATTGAAGAGGACTGGCCCCAGCACCGACCCCAGGGGGACACCACTGGTTGCCAGCTGGATTTGGCTCCATTCACCACCAGTCTCTGGGCCCGGCCCTTCAGCCAGTTCCTTATCCAGCCAAGAGCGCACCTGTCCAAGCCACGGCCTGCCAGCTTCTGCAGGAGAACGCAGTGGGAAGGAGAATACTGTGAGAATACACTCCTCCACCCCACATCCTGCAGGGCTCGGCTGCCAGCTGGGCTTCACTGCAGCACTCAGCAGCCTCCACCTTCCCTTTCCCCTTGGAAAAGCAGAGACGAGACGTGGTCTGTGTTAGTTTCTTTATTAATTCATAGTCCGATAGCTGGTGTACTGGGATATGATCTATACATCAGGGGCTAAGACAGGGAGATCCAAAAGGCTTGTTTCCATAACAATTAAAAAAAGGAAATAAAAGTAATTTTTAAAACTTCTAAAAAGCTTCTAGTGTGCAGACTGCAGCATTCTCTAGGCTCAATGTTGGGTGCAGCCTCCCCCTACCAGCCCTACGAGCAATCTGAGCGCAAAGCAATGTCACTGCAGGTGCCGGGCACAGTTGCAGCACAGCACATTCCCTAAGGCGTAGACTAGGCCAAAGCACAGGACCCACACACAACTCTACGGTGATGCTACAGGGTCAGCTGTTGCAGTGGGTCTAGGTAGGTTATTGTACACAGCAAGGGTAATGGATGGAGTCTGTGCCTACTTCGAGGTGGGGTGAGGAAGGGGTTGCCTTGCTTTCCATGGCTAAGCTGGGCCATTTGCTTTGCTGCATCTGGGCTTTTTATCCAGACTGCAGCAGAGCCAGAGACTTTCCTGGCATGTGTGCACCCACTGTGAGACAGGGCTGCCCTGCCTGAAGCTGGAGGTGGGCTTGTTCTGCATGTGGCCACCGAGAGCAGCATCAGGCCCTGCTAAACAAGTCCACAGCCACCTCTGGGGAAAGGGCAAGGGGGTCTCCACACCACCATGCTACAAAGGCCAGGCCCCCTCATTGCTTAGGTAAAGGAGAGAGCTGGGGACACAGATCTACTGCTGTCTGCATCCTGTCCTTCCAAGGTCAAGTTTTGTAGCAGATTCAACCTTCTGCCCATCTCAGTGCTGCCTGGGCAGCCCTGAGCACCACGATTCTCCTGCCAGAACAGCTGCCCCAGCACTGCCCTTGCTTTCAGGGTGACTGCTTAGCTCGGTGGCTGCAGAAGGGCATTCACTTGGCCAAAGTGCAGCCACTCGAGGAAGCAGCTCCCTCCATTTCTGGGATTGGTCCTGGGTGGGCCAACATCCACAGGGTCAAGGGTCTGTGCTCATTTGTGCCCTCACAGGAGGGCCGGGAGGCCCTGCAAAGTAGTGCAGGGCTTCTGGCTCCTGCCAGCTCCTGGCCCATCTCCTGAGCAGATATTGTGCTGAGTAGAGCTAGGCACAATCCAGTGCGTGGCACAAGCCTTCCCTGCTCTCACTACCTATCCTCCCTGGGCCCCAAGCACCTCAGTGCAGGCTGCCAGCCTCACCCCAGCTGAAGCCAGCACAAACTGGGGCTTGCACCATGGACCAGCCCATGGGGCTGCCCCCGTGGGCCTCTCTCTTCAGGCCAAGAAGGGACCAGACTCAGATGGAAGGGCAGGACAAGACAATCTGCCACCCTGTCACACCTGTAGGCTCCCAGCTCTATTCACCAGAGCTGCTCACATACTCCAAAGGCTTTGCCCATCCTGCAGCCTGAAGAGGTATTTGGGAGTGGAGCTGTTAGTGCTTTGTACATACTGCTAGAGTGTCCCTAGGTGTTTGCATAGTATTTATTGGTTCATATACACAAGGCTGATTGCTGTACAGTTTACACTTTCAACATAAGCAACGAGCTCAGTGCTCGGCCCAGAGCCCTGCCCTGGCAGGAGATGCTGCACATGCTGGGGAGAGGAAGGGCAGCCCTGCATCAGGCAACACTGCACCCACAGCCCTCCTCTCTCACATCCCCCTATTGCTGCCCTCCCCCTGCCCCAGCACTCACTGAGAGGGATGAGAAGCGAGTCCAGCAGAGGCAAGAATGGTGACAGGGATAGAGCCCCTCTTCTCCTTCAGTGAGCAGCCCCAGCCTCCTTCCTGCCACTGGAGCACTGCACAGGGATGTAGTGACGGAGGCGGATGTGCGAGGGTGGATTCTTCTCCCCTCTCATTTGCTGCCAGTCCAGCTCTGGCCTCCCAGAGGAGCTGAAGGATGCCCCTTGTGCGTGCTGCTGTCTTTAGGCTCCTGATGGCAGCAAGGCAGGGACAGGGTCCCTCTGTTTGCTGGAAGTACTGTAGCTCATGCGTCTTGCAGTCAGTCAGTCATGCGGATAGGACGGTAAGTATCTCGTACAGAAATCATGCCTTTAGCCTATTGAAACATGTACAGCCAGCCCTGCTTCCCTCCAATCTCTGTCTTCCTCTCCTCTCTTCTCAGGTTGGTGTGGAGATCAGTGGTTTGGTGTTGAGGTGAGATCCTGGGGAGACACAGAAAGACGCAGAGATGGGGTCACCAGGCTCACGTAGTCCCAGCCTACACTTGTTCCAAATGCACCCGTTCTGACCACCCACAAGATGAGTTTTACAGCAGGGTGCCAGAGAGGCAGCATCAGAGCATCGATGAGTGCCCTGCCTGGAACCCACAGCAATGGCACAGATGGTACCAGTGGCGCCACCTCAGATGCAGAGAGCAGCAACAAGTAGGAGCTGAGCTTCACCAAAGCCAGAGCAGCAGTGGAAGGAGCTGGGAAGGCTGCTGTAGAGCCTGGGACAGACATATCCCATCCATTGGAGGCCAGCCCTGTTTCAACAAGGGTGACTCACTGCACCTTGTTCTCACAGCAGCATGGAAGACCCCATAAGTTGTTAATGCATTTCCTGAGCTGCTTTTGCATGCTGTAGAAAATAGCAAGAGTAAAGCAGCAGGAAGACTGCCTCGAGTGAGGCTGGCCCAGGGACTCTCTAGGGACAGCTGCAGACAATAGACACTGTCTGTATGACCATATGTCCACAAACACAAAGGTCTTGACTATCATATACCACAGATATCTCACTAACAAAAATTAGAAATTGGAGAGAGAGAGGAGACAGACACCATCATGCACATACATCCCTGCTACATTTAACCCAGCAGTACAAAGAGCTGGCACAAAAGGAAGAGCAAAGGGGGGGGGGTTACCTCCAAAGAGGCCATTTGAGGGGGGTCAATGCTTCCCCCTTTTCAGACTGGCTCGTTTCACTATCTGAGCCCCCATCCTGCTCCCGGAGACCTCCAGTTTTGGGACACGCACTTGCACCTCCTCCTGAGGGAGCCACAGGGACAGGAGGCAGGACATCACCCAGGTGAACAGACAGACACAGAGAAAAGGACAGGAGAGGGAAAGGCTGAGTCAGTCAGCAGAAGACACCAAGCAAGAAGACTGGTGCAGGAGCAAGAGCAGCCCCTGGCAGCCTTAGGAGGGAAACAGGTGAGAGAGGAGAGCAGGACAGAAGAAAGGACAGAGGATGGAGGAGCCCTGGAGCCCACAAGTCCTGCAGAGGCAGTGCTGGCCCCGAGTAGGGGACTTGCAAGGCACAGCCATGAACCACACCATACCTTGGCCCCCAGACCGTCCCTCTGTAGGATGGAGTACATGAAGTGATCAGCCTCTGCCTCCAGGTCTTGGGGCTCCTGCAGGGAGCCCTCCAGGATCAGGTCCTCACGCTCCTGCCTGTCATCTGTGTCATTGGGGCCCAGATGACGCACCACCTTCCGGATGACCTGCGGAGACCCATGCAGCCTTCATCACTGCCAGCCCCGACACCAGCCCACACAAGAGGACACGGCCAGCCCCGACACCATGCCTTCCTTCTTGCAGGTCTGGCCCTCAGCCCCGTGCACACCACCCCCTGGCAGAATCTGTGGCTGGAGAA